TTTCTCTCTCTCTCTCTCTTTCTCTTTCTTTCTTTCCCCTTATATATTTTTCTCTTTTTATCTTTCTTTCTCTCTTGCGTTAGTTTTACATTTATAATTATAAATTTCTTCGAAGTCTTTGAAATAATATCAGAGAAATGTCTTGTCACTTGTATCTTTTTATAATAAAATATATTATTAATTCTTTTTCTTAATTCTTGAAATGATAAAATAAAGAGAGATAGATAGATAGATAGATAGATAGATAAATAGATAGATAAAGAGAAGGAGAGAAAGGAACTGTAAATTTCTGTAAACGATATATGGTAAAAAATTTTGTATTAAAAAAAAAAAATAATAAAAACAATACGAAGAAGTTACCAGATGCGAAAAGAATTCTGAATATAACTAGCACCTCTTTCGCGAGTTCGAGCAGCTGTTGTGGATTATGCAACGCCTCCGGGGATTAAGACATCAGGCGTTTTTCGATGGACAAAGGAAGACCACCAGTTTTAGTTATTTTCTTCTTCGTAATCCTTCCATCGAAAATGATGCGAATCCAAATGCGTACGAGACGTAAAGAAAAATTAAATTACGATTTATACTTGATGACAAATTCTAATTCGTGATATTTAACATTTTTTTTTCGATTTGCAAAATCTCGTTTTAGGGGGATTGATTCATTCATATATGTAAGAAACATTTCACGCGAACCAACGACGTTTTATATATTAAATGCGCTATTAACTAACTTAGTGCTAATATCAACGTTTCCTATCTCATTATGTTAATTATGGGATAAACAGTCCTCGAGGCCAAGAAGGGCCATCGCCATCTAACGCCGCCCGAGTTCTCTGCGTGTTCCCGACTTATACACTTCGTGCATCGTTACGTCAATGATACGCGCACGAGAAAGAGAAAAGGACAGAAAAAGAAAGAGAATATAAGATGAAGAAACGAGAGAAAAAGAGACGGACAGACAGACAGACAGACAGAGACAGAGATAGAGATAGAGATAGAGATAGAGATAGAGACAGTTAAATAGATATATATATATATCTATTTATATATTTATATATATTTATATATATATATATATATATATATATATATATATATATATAGAGAGAGAGAGAGAGAGAGAGAGAGAGAGAGAAAGAAAGAGAGAGAGAGAAAGAGAAAGTTAAACTTTATTTTTAAGAGGAGTCTTACAAAATTTTCAAAATTCTTTATGTTGGTCCAGAAATCGGTCTCAAGGAAAAACGGTGAGTCTATTGGGAGGAAACGAAAAAGGGACCGATGAAAAAAGATGGCCCGCGGCATCAGAACCGATAAAGACTGGAAGCCGTTTCGTAATCGCGGCCAAGATCATTTTCTGCACGACCGCTCGGGAAATTAGATCACCTACCCTCTCCCATCCCGGTAGCGAAAGAGAGAAATCTAGGCAGGTTTCATCGGACGATACAGGAAGAACTTCTTCTTTCTTCGTTCTTCTTCTTTCTTCTTCTTCTTCTTCTTCTTCTTCTTCTTCTTCTTCTTATCATTATCATTATTATTATTACTCGAAGACCCGCCTCTTATTTATCCCCCGTCTTCCTCCTCCTGTCCCTCTTAGTCCCGTGACTCGAATTTCTCTCATCGCCGATCTGTCGCCGATAATTTAGTAATTAACTATAACTCTTTCTCTCTCTCTCTCTCTCTCTTTCTCATATATATATATATATATATATATATATATATATATATATATATATATATATATTGTCTAACTCTAATCGTACGTCTATCTTTCTTTTGCCACGGATCAACGCAAATGGATATAGTTTTTTATCTACTACTAGACTATCATTTTCTCTCGTATCTTTTTCTTTTATTAATCGTCCAGGGCACCGATAACGCGTATTAGATTACATTATATACCGTTACTGCATTTTGTTATCAACGAAAGATTATACAATTTTTATTTATTCTTATTACTTCGATCAATAAAAACTTATTAACGTTGAAACATCGTCCTTATCTATTTGAACGAACGTATATTCCTTTTAAAGATACGACGAGATTCATTTTTTTTTTCTTTTTTCGTCTTTTTAACGATACATAATTATTCTTCAAATCATCAAAGAGATTTTCGAAACGTTAGAACAGAACAGTACGATCAGAGTTATTACCTTTTTTTTTTTGTTTTTTCTTTTCCTTCGTTTCTTTTCTCTTTTCTTTTCTTTTCTTTTCTTTTCTTTCCTTTTTTTTTTCTTTTCAACATCGTGATACGATCATGGTTATACGTAGTTCATCGAAATTCTCTTTAAAACAATCGAGAAGAGAGAAGAATCGATGGCGCTGTGTGAGAGAGGAAGATTCGTTGAGGATTATCCAGCGGCAGGTCGTAGCGTGGAGCTCCGAAAGATCTTCACCATCAAAGGATCACCCTCGTTCGACGTCGTTTCATCTTCCTTACTCTCATGATACCTCAAGATCTATCTCCCTTCCTTCTTCTCTTTTCTTTCTCTTTCTTTCTTTCTTTCTTTCTTTCTTTCTATTTCTCTCTCTCCCTCTCTCTCTCTCTCTCTCTCTCTCTCTCTCTTTCACTTTCTCTTGGTTCTCCGATCCTCCTCCTCCTCCTCCTCCTCTTCTTCTTCCTCCTCCTTCTCTTCCTCTCATCTTCCTCTTCGCTTCTCGGCTCTACGGCTTTGCTTTTGGCTCGGGCCGGGTGTAATCGGTTCTCCGAAGCCAGGGCTCATTATCGACCCGTCGGCCTAGCAATTACCTGCGAAGCCTCTTTCGACTTCGTGTGTGCCAGCCAACACAGTTTCCGAGTCTTCGCGAGGCCTTCCGAGATCGTTCGAGGATCGAACGAAAAAGAGCGAGACCGTATTCTCTTCTATATAGCGAACGAAAGAGTGAGTAAGTGAGAAAGAGAAAGAGAGAGAGAGAGAGAGAGAGAGAGGGGAAGAGAACGGGTGAGATCTTAAGGAACAGGAAAAGAGGGAAAAGGGAGGCACACTATACTCCCTTTTCGCGAAAAGGGCTAACGCCGTACGATTATCTCGTACGAAGACGCTCTTGAACGATCGCTGATAATTACTGGACGTGCTCGGTAGTATGCAATAATTGCCGAGGCTGCCAACTTCGCGCCAGTTTACCAGGAAGAATCTTACCTATTCTAAGATAATCTTCTTACTCTCTTGCGGAATATTTCCTCGAGTGAGAGAGATAGATAAATAGAAAGATAGATAAAGAAAGAGTGAGAGAGAGAGAAAGAGGGAGGTAGAGGAAGAGAGAGAAAAAGATAGAGTATAACTTTCCAATTTATTGTCCTCTCTAATATCCTTCTTATTTTCCTATTAAAATGTATAAATCATAGACCATTATTCTATCTGTTGATTTGAAATAATAGAAAAAGTTTAATTACTTTTTATCCAACTGTTTTAATCGATCAATAAAGAAAAAGAAAAAAAGAAAAAAAGAAAAAGAAAATCTAGTAGAGACATCGGAACATCGCGTGTCACAAATTACACGTAGAATTCGTTTTCTATATGCTTTCAAAGCACAGAAATTTTTCCTTCGGGTTTTCAATCGTTACAAATAAAGTAAAGGAGAAAAAAGGAAAATGTATAGACGGAGAATGAGTTAATGATAAACTCCGATGTTTCTAGATAATACTCGTGTAATTACGTTCCAACATAGTCGTAATTATCTTCTTTTCTTTTTTTTTTTTTTTCCTTTTTTTTTCGCTTCATCGACATCCATCGAAATTTATTAAAAAAGATAAAGATTGTTCGCATGATCGATGATACAGGATGATATATAAAGAATTTTCCGAAGTTCGACAAACGATAAGGTTTTCAACGAAACTCGTGAAAATTCGTGAATTAAATTCATAGAAAGAATATTCGTTTAAAGTAACGGAGCGCGATCGTGCGAGAATGTCGTTCGACTTCTTGGAAAAGCGTCAAGCCCTCGGCTATCTCGTGAGAGTAGAAGCTTAACGAAGGGAAGAGGAGCCTCGACAAAAGGCAATTTTGCGAAGGGCAGCTTGACGATCGCGAACTCGCATGTTCCGGCCAAACGCAAAGCGGCTTTGTCGCTTTTTCAACTTTTAAACACGCGATCAATAAGCGTGCGCTTATTTGGTTATCTATAACCGGAATTATAAGAGGTTCGTCGTATGTGTATATATATATATATATATGTATTTACGTACTTATGTCGTGCGAATGATATTTGCCGTTAGATTAGCCAATATATAATATTTATGAGAGAAACGTGAAAAAGAGAGAAGGGAGGGAAAAAAAAAGAAAAAAGAAGAAAGAGGAAACAAAAAGTAATGAAAAAGAAAAAGAAAAAAAAAAAAGGAACGATCAGTAATAGTACCTATGTTTCACAAGAAACTTAGATCATCATCTTAGAACGAGAGATCATAGGAGAATGGCTCTCAAAGATTATCCTCTTCCCGTCGTTAATCCAACACTGAATGCAAAGTGGTAAATCGTTCGAGAAAAAGATAAATTCTTATCTCCGTCAGTCCATTTCTTTTTCTCACTTTTTATCTTTTCTTTTCTTTTTATTTATTTTTTTTACCCTTATAAGGATCAATACGAAGAAATCGATCGATTAAATAAAATACGTATAGATATGGTAATCATAGAGAGAAAGAGAGAAAGAGAAAAAAAGAAAAAAAGAAACAGAGAGAGAGAGAGAGAGAGAGAGAGAGAGAAAGAGAGAGAGAGAACGTGATGTAGTTAATTAGAAATCTTTTATTAATCAACTTTAGATTCGATCATGTAGGTATGTATCTCAAAGAAGAAAAGCTACTCTTATATTTTCATTAATCCTATCATCGTTAGACTCTTGTAAGAGCACCGTTATGCTTCATTTACTCTGAATACTCATGTAGCTTCTATAATCATTAATATTAATCGATTTGTGCCGTCTTACGCTAAGTCGACGCTCACGAACGTATTTGTTTTTTCTTTTCTTAATTTCCATATCTCTTCCATCTCTTTTATCGGGGTGGGATTTATTTTCTTTGACGTTTGTCATTAGGCCTTATTCCCTTTTCTTTTTTCGTCCCTTTTGAAATAAGAAGTTTGAGAAGTCGTTAGAAATCTCACAGTGAACTAACTTCTTCGAGAACGACAACTACATATCTCCTATAGTTCTACCGGCGATGATGGTAATGCTAGAGATAGTGGTGATGATGGTGGTGGTGGTGGTGGTGATGGTGGTTAGTGGTAGTGACGGTGGTTGTGACGGTGGTTCTCCCTTCTTGTTTCCCTCTCGGTAGCGCGGATTAATTAAGCGGCGACGAGCCACGCGCAAATTAGCGGCACTGTTCGAAATCGAGTGGCGTTTCTGTGCAGAACGCTGGAAAGCAATTAGGTGTCATTACCGTCGCCCGTTAACGTCTGCCGAAGAGAAAGAGAAAGAGAAAGAGAGAGAGAGAGAGAGAGATGGAAAGAGAGAGAGAGAGAGTAAGAGAATATAAGAGAGTCCGGATTCAGTTTGTTGAAGCGATTATTTTTATTGTCCTTTCCGGCCAGCTTCTTAGAAATCTCGGAAGCAGAACTGTTAAGAGACTTCACGAGATCCAACTCCGAGGTTACTTTGTTTCTTTCGTACCGTTCCTTTTTCAATTCGAAGGATAAAATACCTCGAAATAGAAATATGCTTGTATACTAAAATATTTGTTCTACACCGATTATCTATTTATCTTTGTAAAATTTTGAAACAAAAAATAATATAATTGGTCGGTATATTAACGTCCATTTGACGGATAGGTAGAATATAGATAGAACCATGCGATAATGTGTCCAACATGCAAAATTTTTCGAAATATATATATTATCAGTAATGTGTACATACATCGTTAAAGTAGACGCGTTATCTGTTAACGAGACTTAAATGTTCGTTTAGTAACAACCTTGTCTGAAAGTGAAGTGCAGCATAAATTTTATAGGGCCACAGTCGATTGGTGATATAAGTTCTTTAAAATATTTTGCAAGTCGATTTTTAAGAACAGGACAGTTGATCGTGCGAAGAATAGTGTACTCATGTTATTCTTATTGAGAATGATGTAGTGTGATAAATAAGGAAAAAAAAAAAAAAAGAAAAAAAAAAAAGAAACATTAACAAAAAAAGAAAATACAAAACAAGAAAAACAGGTGAGTACGAAAAGATAATATTAACATTATATTAGATTATTATGTACTTGTCTATCCATGTATACGATTATTAATACTATTTGATACTATTTTTACTTTGATATAATCAAAATTTGTCCTTTCTTTTATTTTTTTCGGACGTCCAAAGATGACCTTAAAAATCAATTTTCTCTAATCATTTCACGTAATTATATTGACATCGTAGTAAGATTAATAAAAAAAAAAAAAAGAAAACAAAAGTAAAAAGAAATTTAATGGAATTAATTGTCACAATGTAACGAAAGATTCACGTCTCGAAACGACGTTCTTTCGTCGAACCTGGCTCCGTCTTATTATTAGCCCGAACTCTCGTTACGAGAATGCATTCCAGGAAGGGAGAGGCACGAATTTCTGGAATTCGGAGGTTGTCGCTCGGAGCTAACTGGATAACGCAATGAATTTATTGCACAAAGTGACGACGTGCCGTGCCGGCCCGCCTAACTTTGGCCCGCCTATACGGTAAATTTCGAAAAGGGAGAAAAAGAGAGATAGATAAAAAGAGCATAAGAGAGCAGCGTCAAGTCTCTATGAAGATAACAGCGTTAACGTTATTAGAATAACGAATGAATGCCTATACATAAACCTTCTTTATTTTATTTTTTTTTTTGTTTTCTTTACCATTAAATGACAAAATTATTTCTCATTTAACATCGTATTAATGTCGCAAAGTTTTTCCAAAAAATTGGATTGATCATCGGATCTAAATGATTCTTATCCTTTTTCGACATATTAGTCTGAGATGTATATATATATATATATATACATACGTATATACTACATGTATAAATATATCTATACATGTATAATAAAAGTATATGTATTAAGTACATAATCTGTTGATGCAGATGGTACGGTGATGTCTCGTGTACTCGCATCAGTTAGGCGACTTTAATCATCGCCGAGGGATCTCTCAGATAGCGCTGACTACGTTTTAATTACTCGTCGCATCGCGGAGAATGTAGAATGACATCAAGATGGCCGATAGGATTGAGAATGTGGTAAGCGGTCAACGCTCTTCTTGAGCTATTCAAAAAAGGGAGAAACAAATAAAGAAACAGAAATAGAGAGAGAGAGAGAGAGAGAGAGAGAGACAGAGATAGAGTAACAGTAAAGAAGAGAAGAAAGAGATAAAGATATAATGGAGTAAAAATAAGAGGAATAGAAATAGAAAAAGAAAAAGAAGAAAAAAAAACAATAATAATAATAATAATAATAATAATAATAATAATAATAATAATAATAATAATATAAAAAAAACTGAAAGATACTATGAACTTTGCTAGTTTTCCTAGACGCGTCCTCAGGTTTTTAATCACCTATGAATGCAAATAAGGACGATGCCCTCAATTCGCATATAGTCACCGATAGCAATGACGATAATCGGTGGCTACGCTTGAAATATTTCATTTCTTTTTTTTTTATCTTTTTTTCTATTTTTTGTTTATTCCTTTTTTTCTCTCTTTTTTTTACCTACCCCCACCCCGTCTCTTTTCATTTCTCCTCGCCTTTCTTATTTCCTGGCCCTCCAACCCCCCGCCCCCCCTCGAGCCTGTTCTCGATAGACTTTATTAACCGGAATTGATTTTTATATGCGGCGAATTAACGTCCCGTTTGCGTGTATGTGTGTCTACTACGTGTGCCCTACGTGTCCACTACTACGTGTTTACGTGTGGTACGTACGTACATATGTTCGTTCGTTCGTTCGTTCGTCGTGCGCGCGTGCATGCACACTCGTGACATCGCGCGGGCCCATCGTAAACGCATAATTGTTACTCTCAGGTGCGAATGAATAACTGCGCTCGTAAAAGCGTACTCTACAATTCTGTACGTCGTTCTTAATATGCGGAGACTATAAACCTCCGGTAAAAATATATCCCGGTTATTGTTATTTGAGAATTACGATCGTATCCGCGCTTTGCGCGTTCCTCGTCCTATCCCATTTACCCCCCCCCCCTTCCCTTCCCCTCCCTCGCCACCCCCTCCCGACGGCGGCCCACCTTACTTATTTTCATTTTCATCGATATCTTATTTTCTAAATTTTCTATGGTAATATACGAATGTATGAGGGACGGATAGGTGGGAATTCATAAAATCGATGGATCGCCATTTGTTATTTTTAAGAATCTAATCTGGTATCAATTGAAAAGCGTTTGTCATTATTGGTGGTAATATTTTTCATTTTGGTTCTTCTTTTCTCTCTCTCTCTCTCTCTCTCTCTCTCTCTCTCTCTCTCTCTCTCTCGTTTTCTTTTTTTCGTTTTTATTTATTTTTTTTCTTTTTTTTCCCCCTTTAATCGGATCGAGTTTGTTTTTCGTGATAGTCGTGAAATTTCTCTTTCGACTTTTTTTATTTTCATCTTTTTGTTTTGTTTTGTTGTTATCTCTCCCTCTCTTTCTCTCTCTCTCTCAACTCGTTCATCTTGGCCCCATGTCAGCGTTCAAGAAAACGCACGCTTTTACCTACAACCAACATCAGCACGAAGAAAAGAGACTCATCATCGTTCTACCTGAAAATTGACCTGCTCGCGTGTCCGTACCCGAGATATGACCTTGAAGCGATTAACTCCATGGAGAGACCTAAATTCGTTCGTGCGACTTTCTTAACCCTTCCACGCTCCCGGCAGCCCTTTCGCATCTCATTCCATTCCACGAAGGGTCATCTATTGTAACGGACGACTACTATCCCACGTTTAGATAATTTCATCACGTTCGTGAAATCGCATTTTTAAAGTACGAATCCCTATTTATCTTGTTTATCGTATCTGATATCGTGTGACAGGATAATTTGAATAATAAAATGTCGATCGACCGTATTTCAATTTGCGAGAGAAAAGAAAAAAGAACAACAAAGAAAAAAAAAAATAAAAAAAAAGAACGGAAAGAAAAGAAGAAAAAGAAAAATTCTAAGGAAGGAAAAAAGTAAAAGGAAAAGAAAATTCTAAAATTCCGCAAGTAATCGTGTAAGAGGTAAACTCGAGGGGATAATTGTGGCTTCGTAAATATCGCAACATAATACTCGCTCGTGGATAGCAAATCGACCAGCTTATACGTATATATTTATATACATACATATACACACACATACACACACACACACACACACACATATATATATATATATATAGTTGTATCCGCTGGTTCGTTCAATCCTTGCATTTCTTCGTGCATGGATACTCGTCGTTTTCTCGTGGAAAACACATTACTCTCGCGTAATGCGTAGAAAACGAGGTAATTGTACGCAACGCTTGCAAATGCGGCCGATACTCCGAGAGCTTCCGCCCATTCGTGAATCCAATGAATTCTTGCGGATCCAATATGCCGGTCCACACGCGAGATTCGTTTTTGCTCGATACGTACGTTCGTTCGTTCGTTCGTTCGTTCGTTCGTTCGTTCGTTCGTTCGTGCTTCCCATATAGAAAATTCCGATTCCGTTGGATTTTGTTCAAAACAAAAAAAAAGAAAAAAAAAGAAAGAAAAAAAAAGTCACTTTCTCTTAATTCCTTTGATCTATCTTTGATACATTGTACAATAACGAGTAAGTGACAGATTACTAATGATATCAAACAGATGTCTATGATATTAAAATCCTGTTTAGAATGAAAAAAGTTGTACGTAGTAATAAAAAGTTAAACAAGAATAACTGCATATATATTTCATGCACCTTGATATCGATGACTTTACATAAGCGTTCCAGAATAATCTGATAAAGATCATTCTCTCTCTCTCTCTCTCTCTTTCTACCTATCTATCTATCTTTCTCTTCTCGCACATCCGGTGAATCTCACGTGGAAACATTTTATATTATACATCTCTCAGTATCATCGGTACATAACGCAAAGAGAAGAAAAAGAGAGAAAAAAAAAAAAGAAAGGAACGTTTAATATTTATCAAAATTGACAAGATAGAATATCTTGAAAGTCGTACTTTCTCGTTTTCTATCTGTCTACATGAGAGCTTTATCATTTATCTATCGAAATTGCAACGGTTCTGTTATTTCTAATTGTAATGTTGCATATATATTGATACTTACGTAAGTACTTAGATTTAATTAATTATAATGATCGTTTAAAGAAAAATGTTCGAAGATATGATTATAGTAGATATAACGGAATGTTGAATTGTAAAGAGTAAAAAAAAAAATTACGATTATCCATATACAGATTCATGTTATTGGAAGTGCAACTAGAACAGATTACTATATCGCAACGGCAGAATGTATGTGTCTACATGTAAAGGAATATGTCGCATGCTGATAGTCGAAATATTTATCAATAATTTTCTTCTTTCCATTTTATTATTTTTCTTATTCCTTTTTTTTTCTTTTTTCTTCTTCTTCTTTTTCTTTTTTTTTTCTTTAAGTAACCTTTTATATACCGTATTAAAGATTCTGTTCAAGAATCCATAAAAACCATGGTCTTGTACATTTTCTCGTTTACGATCGGATTATTAAAATTGTTAGAGCGAAAACTTGGAATCCCGATTAAATACATTTAATAAGTATCGCGATGAAAATGCAACAAATGCGTAAATAATATTTATATAACGTAGCAATTTTACCGGTACCTTCTTAAGTATTTAGATATGCAATGTCGTAAAGTGATAGGGAGTATATCGGCAAACTAATATGAATATGAATAACACATAAAGATAGAATCGGTCGACCGTAAACGTTTAAAAAAGTGAAAATACAATGACAAAGCCAACTTGAAAAATTTTGTGGTCGAAAAGTAGCAGTATTTAAATATGTTTCACGTTCGTCGTGTACTAGATAATACGTTACCTAAAAAGACTTTTCATGAAAATTTTTTCACTAAAATCATAATTGAGAAAAAACAAAACACAAGTATTTCAATTTGTAAAATGTTTCGTTTTGTGTATTACGAATGCTTAGAAATCGATTACGTATTACTTTTCGATTCGAAGTTTCTCGATTAACCAAAAAAAAAAAAAAAAAAAGAAAATAAAAGAAAGAAAAAAGAAAAAAGAAAAAAGAAAAGAAAAAAGAAAGAAGAAAAAAGAACAGCAAAAAAAAGGGAAAAATTATCAATTTAAATGTCATCAGACATAATAAACAAATTCAAATGAATGAAGTAAATACAATATTTATATGAGTGTAAGTATATCGGCATTGGTATCTACTAGGAACTGATTCATAACGATGAAATTAAACTTGACAAGTATTTTCCTGACGGTACCTGTTTTTCCTGAATGAAAAACGAAGACAAAGAGAAAAAAAAGAATTATCCGTTGACTAACATTGTCGTTAAAAATCAATTTAACTGAATTTCTCACTTTGACGCATTGTTTCGATCGTCTCGTAACGAGTTTATATAATCATGAAAGCGAACGAGAAAACGAAATTGACAACTTGATACGTCTTTCATTATCGGTCGCAATCATTAACATTTCAAAACAAATCGATGTAGTAGATATACAATAAAGTATTTTTATTTTTATTTTTTTTTCACAAATCTTACCAAGCGTATACACGACGAACGTATGCATGTAACATAGATACGTTTATAAACCTGTTAGCCTTGCCGGATGATTTACGATTCGCGCCAGTGGTTTGCGCTGTTCGAAAAATGAAAAATAGAAAAAAAATCTTAATTAAATTTACTAACTTTTCGTAATGGAAAGTTAAAGATTAAAGAAAAAAAAAAAAAAAAAAAAAGAAAGAAAAAGAAAAAAAAGAAAAGGAAGAAAAAGAAATACGATGGGGGATATTCTTACGATCGACGATTGAATGACATTAAAATCTACGAATTGTTTGTTTATACGATTCCGTTCGTTTCTTTCGTTTCGCCGAGTATGAAATTCCATAGTAGAAAAGAATTTGCTGAAATGTAGAGTGAAGGTAAAAAAAAAAAAAAGAAAAAAAAAAGAAAGGAAAAAAGAAAAAGGAAAAAAACGGAGGGGGGAAAAAGAAGAGGATAGAATGAAAAGAGAAGGACGAAAGGAGTAGGATAGGTAAAGGAAAGTAAGGAAGGTTGTATTTTGACGTGGCATCGTCACGACGAAGCGGTTTATATGCAAAGTAGAACGTGCTACGAAGAAGATGAAGAAGAAGAAGAAGAAGAAGAAGAAGAAGAAGAAAAAGGAAGAGAAAGAGAAAGAGAAGGAGAAGTAAGAAAGAGGAGAAAAGGGAGGAAAAGAAGGAAAGTCATCGAATCCCTTTTGGCGAACTTACCTGCCAGGCTTCCGCGTAACAGAGCTACCAGTAGTTGTCCGATCGTGACTCTTTGCGGTGAGCCGACAGAAAACATCGTCATTATCTGCCTTAAGGTCCGCGTATACCGACGAGCGAGAACTTATGGCAAGCACGCGATCCACGGATTTCTTGGCGCGTCCTTGAATCACGATTTGGTCCCCGCCAA